TATATATATATATATATATAAATTTGACAGAACTCAATAGCTTTAACTTTAAGAATTTCATATTTATATTACAAAAATCACTTGATATGTATAAATTGTCTATCAAAAATCTAAAAAATATTAGACTTAAAATCCTGACCATCTCTCTCAAATATATCGTCAAAAACTGGGATATAAAATATATATTTGGATAGATATATATTCATGTGAACACTATACATTTTTTGCCTATTAAGAAACATTAATGGTTACAAAATTAAACCTTTGACGGATTGTTTGGTATGTGAGATGAAGTAATCAAGGATATCTCTTGAGTTGAGATATTTCATAAGATATTACTTTAACTTATCTTCTATATTAGATAAAACAATTCCGTGATTAATTAACACCTCATATTAAAAATGAAATAAAATTAATCTTAAATAAAAAGAGATTATTATCTTTATCCCATTAAGCAAAGTACCAATATCCCATCCCAAAAGCTTATTTATAGTATACTCAATAACATTGATATATCCTCTCAACATTCCAAGACAACTTTATATTATTTTAAATCTTCAATTTCTTCCTTCTCCTATTTTGTACAAACAATGGCTAGAGAACCAAGAATCATGAAGATCAAATTTGAGTCTCCAACATCAGAATTCTATGCTCAAGTTAGAGAAAAAAGTAGTGTAAGAGAATTGATGAAAATAATCAAAAAGGTATGGGGAGATGAATACATGAGACTTTATCACAAGTCTAAAGAAATGAAAAGTGATCAATTTTTATCTGTTTATAATATCAAAGATGGATCTATTGTCAAAGTTCAAGTTCTTGCAGAGCCTCCTGATCATCATCATCATCAGCCACTAAATGATGTTTGCACAAACAACTTCAAGTTCATGGAGAACAACAAAAAGTTAAATAGGTTTTCAATTCTTGGCTTAATTCATTCTGTTTCTTGAGGTGTGTACATATATTAAGTCGAGGGTCTTTCAGAAACAGTTTCTATGTCTTTACAAGATAGAGATAATGTTTCCATATACATCAACTTCCTAGATCTCACTTGTGATATTACGTACACTGAATATGTTATTATTGTTGTTGTAATAGTTTTATGAAATTTACTTGATTGTTACAAAATTGATGCTAACAATATAATGATTCCAAGAATGAAGGTTACTTCACTTGTTGTATGAGTAAATATTCCATTGAATTATGTATACTCTTTCTTGTTTGTCCTTACCATGTCTAAAAAGAATCATCTAATGGAATAAAAGATTAAGAAAAAGTTAAATTGTTTTCTATGAATTAAAAATGAAAGTAGGACAGACAAATTGAAACTGAATTAGAGGACTAAATAAATACTACCATATTATTTGAAATTGTTTTCAACTGCATATATGAGATTAAAATTGAGTTGATGAAATGGGATAATTACACAAATGATGGACTAAAAGTGAGTAGAGTACTTAAAAGGACTTCCTTTTGCAACATAAGTGTCAAATATGAGGACTTAATTGAATCTTTTAAAAGTATATGGGGCCAATTTTAACTCCTTCAAAACCATACAAGGGCTAAAAATTCATTTCACCCATATTTCCCCAAGTCCTGAGGAACTCCAAATTACACTTTTCTCCCCGCGGAAATCAGTCACTGTCGCCGGAAAACATGTATTTGGCTTCTTTTTGCCGGTGACTTATTTACTCCGATAACCATTGAAATAAATGATTAATGGAGCTCATATGGTGTATTTGCTATGAAAAGGCAAAAACGATATGCTTCCTTGTTCGAGTTTTTTCCGGCAGATGGTTAAGTTTGAAGTGAAATTTACAGTTTATTCGATGACAGTGGTAATTGATGAATTGTGTAAAATGGGGGAGTTTCATAAGGCAAGAAAGTTCATGGATGGAAAATTTGTGAAACCAAATAATTGCACTTATAAAAAACTATTAAATACATGTATAAAGAAACCAGATTTTTTGATTGTGAAGGTAATTTTGAGGACAATGGAGAAGGAAGGATGGGATTTCGACCCGAAAAGTTATACACTTCTGATTAAACGTTATTCAACTTTTGGAGAATTTGGAGAAATGAAGAGATTATTTATGGAAATTGAAGAGAAGGGTGTAAAGCCAGATGTTCATTTATACACATCTATGATTAGTGGTTATTGTAAGTTAGGTAATGTTAGAAAGGCATATCAAGTGTTCGACGAAATGACTGAGAGAGGTCTTGTTCCTGATGGTCACACATATGGGGCTTTGATAAATGGTTTGTGCAAGGCTGGACTAATGCAAGAAGCTGAAGTTCTGGTTAATGAGATGCAAAGCAAGGGAATTTGGATTAATCGAGCTATATTTAATACTATGATGGATGGTTATTGTAAGCAGGGTAATGTTGATGAAGCGTTGAGGTTACAGAGAATTATGGAGGATGAAGGACATGAGCCTGATGCAAATGCTTACAATATAATTGCTACTGGCCTGCGTAAGCTAGATTTGCATGACGAGGCAAAGAGGTTGTTGCTCTCAATGGTGGATCGAGGTGTAGCTCCAAATGTATTGGCTTATACGTCTTTGATTGATATTTACTGCAAGCAGGGTGATTTTTTTGAAGCAAAAAGGATACTTAGTGAGATGGAAACTAAGGGAATTAAGCCTAGCACGGGAACGTACAACGCCCTGATAGATGGTTATTTCAAGCACGGAAATTTTATTGAAGCAAAAAGGGCACTTATTGAGATGGAAACTAAAGGAGTTAAGCCTAACACGACAACATACACTGCACTGATAGATGGTTATTGTAAGCAAGGAGATTTTGTTAAAGCTAAAAGGACACTTATTGAGATGGAAAGTAATGGAGTTATGCCTAACACCAATACATACACTGCGCTAATAGATGGTTATTGCCAGAAAGGTATGATGAATGAAGCTTATAAGCTAAGAATTGTCATGGAATCTAAGGACTTGATACCTAACGTCTATACATACACCTCACTTGTACACGGGGAATGCAAATCAGGAAATGTTGATGATGCTCTGAAGCTTTTCAACGAGATGCCTACAAAGGGTTTAGTTCCGAATGTTGTGACTTACACAGCAGTGATTTCTGGCTTATCAAAAGAAGGCAGATCAGGTGAAACCCTCCGATTATACAATCAGATGATAGAGGCAGGCGTAATACCCGATGCTGCTGCATACTCTGCACTTAGTGTGAGAAATTCTTCTCTATAAACTTTTACATCGTGAACTTCATTTGGATTAGATTTAGCCAGTCAGAAGTATATATAGCAGATTGTTTTTTATTAAACTGGAATTCTCTAAATTGAACCATTAGATATTGTACATGTCCTTGTGTATATGCTCTTGCTGTAATATCTTCTGCCATGTCTAGAGTTTGTTTCTAGTATGTACATGTGCATGTCAAAAGAATTAAAACTTAAAAGTAAGGAACCATATCTTGTGCTTGTTGAAAAGAGAAGTCTTCATGTGCAGTATATAGGTGTAGACCCCATACTTGTAAGTTACTTGATATCAGTTGCATGTTGAAAATATGAAGGTCAAGAGCCGTTGCTTGTTGCATATAGAAGAAAAAATTATGCATGGTTAGTACTTCGGATATACTCGGGAGTGTTATCGAAGACAAAATGCTTAAGCTGTAGGAATTAAGCCTTTAAACGCAAAGGACAATTAAAGCATGAACTTTAGTGGAAAGGGTGCAATGAAGGATAAAGTAAAATAAGCTGAATGTGATTTAAGAATAATAATTATGAGTACAAATGAAAATTTTAGTAAGGATAAAAGAATTAGAGTTTTACAATTAAGTTATTGTTTAGCCTTAGGATAAAGTCCATTGGTGATAAGGTGTATGCTTTAGTACCTTTGTGGCTGCACTAAACTGTCAACTAAGTGAGGGTGAAGCACTCAACCTGTTTTGCACCTCGCTTCTGAGTTTTTGACAACACTAATACTTCGTTTATACTATCTCCACAATCTTCTTTTCTGATTACTACCCTTTTGGAAATTGTAGTTTTTGGCGGGACAACTGTAGTTGCAAAGGTCCTCTAGCCAATGATTACCATGAAACAGAGAAGAGTACTGAGACTCTAGTAAGACATTTCATTACCAATGGAACTTGGGACAATGCAAAGATGCAGAGCATCCTATGAGATAGCACAATTCAGCATATCAAGACCATTGGAATTGGCAAGTATGACACTCAAGACAAGGTCTTTTGGGACCTCACAGAAGATGGGAAATATTCCAACAATTCAACTTGGAGTTAGATTTGACAAAGGAAACCAACAGATCACTATTGCTCAGGTATGGAACATCGGAACTCCAACATTCCTTTTAAGATCTCATTTTTCGTTTGGAAATTCTGGCAGGGCAAACTTTCCTTTGACAAAGTCATAAGCAGATTTAATATTCTGAAGGATACTCTATGCAACTTTTGCATTTTCCCTAAGAAGATAATCAATGCAACATGTTCCTCTTCATGGAAAGGCCTCAATATGTGTGGAAGCACTTTGGACGGCCACTGGGAATCAGAATTTACAACTGGTGGAATCAAAAATCAAATAACTCCATCCACTAGCTAGTTCTTCAAACTATACCAGGCCTTATCTGTTTGGAGATTCGGAAACAAAGGTCCGAGTGTAGTAATATGGAGGCAAAATGAATTTCAACAGATGTATGATGATCCAACAGGTTGGCTGGAACATTCAGAGTACAATTGCTAAAGCTTATCCAAAAGTTGGTTCAACATTACCTTGGATCACTCTTTGTGAAAAACTTGTGAATCTGAAACCTGTCTCAAACCTTTCTATTGTATGCTGGAAGTTCCCTGAAAATGGCGTCCTTAAATTGAAAACTGACGGAAGCTACTGCTCAGCTAGTGGAAAATCTGGTATGAGGGGAGTTTTGAGGGGTGATAGAGGCAATCTCATCTTGGCTTTCTCCTCACCTTCGAGTTGTTGCAGCAGCACATAAGCAGAAGCTAAGGCTGCCAGTTATGGACTTAAGCCTCTGCCTTCTGAAAAATCTGAAGTACTTCACCAAATAGACAGACTCTTTGATCCTATTTCCGATGGTTGTGAACAACCAGCAATCCAACTACAAGCTGAATTTCATTATTGAGGAGATATAACAAAGAATGAAACAAGCTAAGGGCAAAAGGGCCTTTCTATTTGGATAAATGTTAATTTTATATTGTGATAAATATGCATATTCCAAAGATTTCAATGTAAGAAAGAGATAATATAATGTAAAATTCAATGAAATGTCTTCATGTTAAAGATAAAGTGTTTTTACTAGACACTTTTAATTAAATAAAATTAACAAGTTTTTGTGCGTATTCTCGATCATTATAAGAAGCTACAACACCTTGTATAAGTTCCATTTGATGCTTATGTGTATAATAAAAAGAGGAGATACATTTAATGTAATTTATTTATTTATGTGATAGACTCTTATGAACACATACATACACTTTTCCAAAATATGAAAGGGTTTATTCCACAAGGTCATTTAATTAATAGTTATTATCTTAAAAATTATTTTTAAAAAAAATTCATTCATCTTCAACAAAGAAAAAAGTTATTTTATGAGAGAATAACTATTAATTGAGTAACAATTTGAGAAATCAACTCTATTATGAATAGAAAGTGCTTATTAAGAATATTTTATCCGTTTATCATGTGTTCAAATTTTTAATTAGAATAAATTATAATTTAAATGTCTAAATAAAACAATGACAAAATTAAGTTGCATGAGGTGCTAAATTTGAAATTGAGTTGACGGAGAGGAATAATTGGACCAAATTAGTAGCAAAACGTCAAATATGAGGACTAAATATAACTTTTTAAAAGTATAGAGGGTCAATTTGTATACCTTTTATGAGACCTCATTTGTAATTCAATCAAAATTCTTCACAGCAGTCTTCTCCAAGTTCTCTTAAAAGCTTCAAATTACAATTTTGTTAACTCGCCCAGCTCGCCGGAAACTCGCCGAAGCTCGCCGGAAAACAGGGCATCTCCAGCTCGCCGGAAAACAGGATATTTCCAGCTCGACGTAAAACAGGGTATGTCCAGTTGCGTTAATAGAGGTAACCTATATTTCTGAAGTTCAGAAATGAAAATTTCAAATTGCACTGTTCAAGTTTATAGGTATTGAGTTATTCTTCACATGTCGACTCAAAAGTTTTACCAACCGATAAAACAACGTTTTCCCAATAGACCCATTAAAGAAATTGCCAAATTAATCTCCCTCTTTCCCCCTTCTCCTTCTTCTTGCTCAAATTTCTTCAAATTCAAGAAAAGTCCCAATCTTGAAACCCATTTAGCCGTGGTTGTAGACTTGTTAAAATCCAAGGAGTTTGCTGAAGCAGAGAATATATTGAATGCTGTTGTTGTTACTGATGGTATGAGGAAACCAGTTTCAAAAATAGCTTCTTTGTTGAGTGAGAATCATGTAAAGTGTAATGTTAGAGGGAAGATGTTTAATATGCTATTTAGTGTTTATGTTAATAACACGAGGTTTAATGAAGCTCTACAAGTTTTTGATTATATGAAAAAAGGGCGCTTTAGAATTGATGATAGAGCTTGTATGGTTTACTTGCTTGCTATGAAAAGGCAAAGGCAATATGATTCGTTGTTCGAGTTTTTCCATAAGATGGTTGAGTTTAATGTGAAAATTACAGTTTATTCGATGACGGTGGTAGTTGATGGATTGTGTAAAATGGGGAAGGTTTGTGAGGCTAGAAAGCTCATGGATGAAATGGCTAGTAAAAGGGTGAAACCAAGTGATTACACTTATAACATATTGTTACAAGCATATATGAAGATACTAGATTTTGTGGCTGTAAAGGAGATTTTGAGGAAAATGGAGAAGGATGGTTTTGATCTCAATCTGACTAGTTATACACTTCTGATTAAAGGATATTCAACTTTTGGCGATCTTGTAGAGGTTGAGAGGTTGTTTAAGGAAATAGAAAAGAAGGGTATAGAGCCAAATGTTCATTTATGCACCTCCATGATTAGTGGTTATAGTAAGTTAGGTAATGTTATGAAGGCATTTTCAACGTTTGTTGAAATGGTGGAGAGAGGCCTCATTCCTGATGGTCACACATATGGAGCTTTGATAAATGTCTTCTGCAAGGCTGGACTAATGCAAGGAGCTGAAGTTTTGCTAAATGAGATGCAAGGCAAGGGCATTAGCATAGACCGGGTCATATTTAATACGATGATGGATGGTTACTGTAAGAAAGGTAATGTGGATGAAGCACTGAGGCTACAGACAATTATGGAGGGTGAAGGACATCAGCCTGATGCAAATGCTTACAATATAATTGCTACGGGCCTGCGTAAGCTAGAATTGTATGATGAAGCAAAAATGTTGTTGCTCTCAATGGTGGATCGAGGTGTAGCTCCAGATACAATTAGTTATACAACTTTGATCGATATTTATTGCAAGAAAGAGAAGATATTTTCAACATGCAAGTGATATCAAGTTACAACTTACAAGTATGGGGTCTACTACACCTATATACATGTGCTTTTGTATATTTTACTGTTGTAGAATGCTTCTATTATGTCTAGAGTTTGTATTCTAATATGTACATGTGCATGTCAAAAGGATTAAAATTAAGAACCATATCTTGTGCTTGTTGAAAAGAGAAGATATTTTCAACATGCAAGTGATATCAAGTTACAACTTACAAGTATGGGGTCTACTACACCTATATACATGTGCTTTTGTATATTTTACTGTTGTAGAATGCTTCTATTATGTCTAGAGTTTGTATTCTAATATGTACATGTGCATGTCAAAAGGATTAAAATTAAGAACCATATCTTGTGCTTGTTGAAAAGAGAAGATATTTTCAACATGCAAGTGATATCAAGTTACAACTTACAAGTATGGGGTCTACTACACCTATATACATGTGCTTTTGTATATTTTACTGTTGTAGAATGCTTCTATTATGTCTAGAGTTTGTATTCTAATATGTACATGTGCATGTCAAAAGGATTAAAATTAAGAACCATATCTTGTGCTTGTTGAAAAGAGAAGATATTTTCAACATGCAAGTGATATCAAGTTACAACTTACAAGTATGGGGTCTACTACACCTATATACATGTGCTTTTGTATATTTTATTGTTGTAGAATGCTTCTATTATGTCTAGAGTTTTATTCTAATATGTACATGTGCATGTCCAAAGGATTAAAATTAAGGACCATATCTTGTGGTTGTTGAAAAGAGAAGTCTTCATGTGCAGTATATAGTAGTAGACCCCATACTTGTAAGTTGTAACTTGATATCACTTGCATGTTGAAAATATCTTCTCTTTTCAACAAGCACAAGATATGGTTCTTAATTTTAATCCTTTTGACATGCACATGTACATATTAGAATACAAACTCTAGACATAATAGAAGCATTCTACAACAGTAAAATATACAAAAGCACATGTATATAGGTGTAGTAGACCCCATACTTGTAAGTTGTAACTTGATATCAGTTGCAAGTTGAAAATATGAAGGTTAAGAGCCATTGCTTGTTGGATATAGAAGAGAAAATTCTGCATGGTTAGTATTTTGGATATATTTGAGAGTGTTATCGAAGGGAAAAAAGTTAAGCTTTGGGTGGGACTTAAGCCTTTAAACGCAAAGGACAGTTAAAGCATGGACTTTAGTTGAAAATGTGGAAATGAAGGATAAAGTAAAATGAAACGAATGTAATTTACGAATAATAATTGTAAGTACAAATGAAAATTATAGTAAGGATAAAAGAATTTAGAAATTTATGTGTAAGTCATTGTTTAGTGTCGTCTCTTTAGGATAAAGCCCATTGGTGATAAGGTGTGTGCTTTAGTACCTTTGTGGCTGCACTGAAGCGCCAACTAAGTGAGGGTGAAGCACTCGAACTGTTTTGCACCTCTCTTCTGAGTCTTTGACAACACCAATACTTGGTTTATACTATCTCCACAATTTTCTTTTCTGATTACTACCCTTCTGGAAATTGTAGTTTTTGACGGGACAACTGGAGTAGCAAAGGTCCTCTAGCCAATGATTACCATGAAACAGAGAAGAATACCGAGACTCTAGTAAGACATTTCATTACCAATGGAACTTGGGACAATGCAAAGATGCAGAACATCCTATGAGATAGCACAATTCAGCATATCAAGACCATTGGAATTGGCAAGTAAGACACTCAAGACAAGGTCTTTTAGGACCTCACAGAAGATGGAAAATATTCCAACAGACCACAATATTGATCAGGTATGGAACTCCAACATTCCTTTTAAGATTTCATTTTTCGTTTGGAAATTCTGGCAGTGAAAACTTTCCTTTGACGAAGTCATTAGCAGATTTGGTATTCTGAAGGATACTCTATGCAACTGCTGCTCTCTTCCTAAAATGAAAATCAAATGCAACATGTTTTTCTTCATGGAGAGGCAGCTCAATATGTGTGGAAGCACTTTGGAGGGCCACTGGCAATCAGAACTTACAACTAGTGGAATCAAAAATCAAATAACTCCATCGACAAGCTAGTTCTTCAAACTATACCAGGCCTTATCTGCTTGGAGATTTAGAATCAAAGGTCCGAGTGTAGTAATTATGGAGGCTTAAGGAATCTCAACAGATATATGATGATCCAACACATTGGGTGCAGCATTCAGAGTACAATTGCTAAAGCTTATCCAAAAGTTGGTTCGACATAACTTTGGATCATTCTTTGTGAAAAATTTGTGAAGCTGAAACCTGCCTCAAACCTTTCTATTGTATGCTGGAAGTTCCCTGAAAATGGCGTCATTAAATTGAAAACTGACGGAAGCTACTGCTCAGCTAGTGGAAAATCTGGTATGAAGGGAGTTTTGAGGGATGATAGAGGCAATCTCATCTTCGCTTTCTCCTCACCTTCGAGTGGTAGCAGCATCACAGAAGCAGAAGCTAAGGCTGCCAGTTTTGGACTAAGAGCCTCTGCATTTTGAAAAATCTGAAGAATTTCACCAAAGAGACAAACTCTTTGAACCTATTTCCTATGATTGTGAACAACCAGTAATCCAACTACCTATTTCCTATGATTGTGAACAACCAGTACTTGTAGATATTAGTCTCCTAACCCTCCTTTTGCAAAGGGTAAAGTGTTTTATCCTTGTGTTGTATTGTGAGGCAAGGCCAAGCTGTGGTATGAGGAAATCATGGATTAGTAACTAAATTAAATATAATGAATTGTATTTCTTGTATTTTTAGTTTTGGCCTTTTTTATTGTATCACCTAAACTTGAATGGATTTTGAAACATTGATATGGTCAACTAAATCCGTATTCGCGCTGGGAAGTTCCACATTAGGGGTAAACTGCTTCCTAACAAAGGCGACTCGAACCCGAGACCTCTTGGTTAATGATGAAAGAGTACTTACTACTCCAACACAATTTCAAAGATTTCAATGTTAGAAAGAGATAATATTGTTAAGATACTATAATGGTTAAAGAAAAATATTTCATGTAAAATTCAATTAAATGTCTTCTTGTTAAAGATAAATTGTTTTTACTACACTTTAATTAAATAAAAATTAAGAAGTTTTTGTGCGTATTCTCAAGCGTTCATTATAATAAATAAGTTTACTATTTAAAATATATCACCTCCTTTAGTTACATACATTAGCCTTAATAAGCTATCACACCTTGTATATGTTCCAATTGATGCTTATGTGTATGATAAAAAGAGGTGATATATTTAATGTAATTAATTTATTTATGTGATAAACTCTCACATACATAAACTTTTCCAAAATATGAAGTGTTTGTTCCACATGGTCATTTAACTAATACTTATCTCAATTATTTTTTTAATTCCATTTATCTTCAACAAAAAAAAAGTGACTTTACGAGATAATAACTACTAATTGAGTAACAATATGAGAAATCAACTCAATTATGAATAGAAAGTGCTTATTAAGAATACTTTATCCGTTTATTATGTGTTCAAATTTTCAATTAGAAGAAATTATAATTTAAATGTCTAAATAAAATTCAATGAGAAATTTAAGTTCCACGAGGTGTAAAATTTGAAATTGAGTTGATGGAGATTGGAGAGGAATAATTGCACCAAATTAGTAGCAAAACGTCAAATATGAGGACTAAATTTAACTTCTTAAAATTATAGAGGGTCAATTTGTACACATTTTATGAGGATTCATTTGTACTTCAATCAAAGTTCTTCACGCCGTCTTCTCTAAATTCTCTTAAAAAGCTTCACACTACAGTTTTATAAATTTGCTGAACTCGCCGGGAACTCGCCGAAACTCGCCGGAAAACATGGCATCTGCACTTGTGTTAAGAGGTAACCTTTATTTCTGAAGTTCAGAAATGAAAATTTCAAATTGCACTGCTCAAGTTTACAGGTATTGAGTTGTTCTTCACATGTCGACTCAAAAATTTTACCAACCGGTAAAACAACGTTTTCCCAAGAGACCCATTAAAGAACTTGCCAAATTAATCTCCTTCTTTCCCCCTTCTCCTTCTTCTTGCTCAAATTTCTTCAATTTCAAGCAAAGTCCCAATCTTGAAACCCATTTAGCCTTGGTTGTGGACTTGTTAAAATCCAAGGAGTTTGCTGAAGCCGAGAATATATTGAATGCTGTTGTTGTTACTGATGGTTTGAGGAAACCAGTTTCAAAAATAGCTTCTTTGTTGAGTGAGAATCATGTAAAGTGTAAGGTTATAGGGAAGATGTTTAATATGTTATTTAGTGTTTATGTTAATAACATGAGGTTTACTGAAGCTCTACAAGTTTTTGATTATATGAAAAAAGGGCGCTTTAGAATTGATGATAGAGCTTGTATGGTTTACTTGCTTGCTATGAAAAGGCAAAGGCAATATGATTCGTTGTTCGAGTTCTTCCATAAGATGGTTGAGTTTAATGTGAAAATTACAGTTTATTCGATGACGGTGGTAGTTGATGGATTGTGTAAAATGGGGGAGGTTTGTGAGGCTAGAAAGCTGGTAGATGAAATGGCTAGTAAAAGGGTGAAACCAAGTGATTACACTTATAACATACTGTTACAAGAATATATAAAGATACACGATTTTGTGGCTGTAAAGGAGATTTTGAGGAAAATGGAGAAGGATGGTTTTGATCTCAATCTGACTAGTTATACACTTCTGATTAAAGGATATTCAACTTTTGGCGATCTTGTAGAGGTTGAGAGGTTGTTTAAGGAAATAGAAAAGAAGGGTATAGAGCCAAATGTTCATTTATGCACCTCCATGATTAGTGGTTATAGTAAGTTAGGTAATGTTATGAAGGCATTTTCAACGTTTGTTGAAATGGTGGAGAGAGGCCTCATTCCTGATGTTCACACGTATGGAGCATTGATAAATGTCTTCTGCAAGGCTGGACTAATGCAAGGAGCTGAAGTTTTGCTAAATGAGATGCAAGGCAAGGGCATTAGCATAGACCGGGTCATATTTAATACGATGATGGATGGTTACTGTAAGAAAGGTAATGTGGATGAAGCACTGAGGCTACAGACAATTATGGAGGGTGAAGGACATCAGCCTGATGCAAATGCTTACAATATAATTGCTACGGGCCTGCTTAAGCTAGAATTGTATGATGAAGCAAAAATGTTGTTGCTCTCAATGGTGGATCGAGGTGTAGCTCCAGATACAATTAGTTATACAACTTTGATCGATATTTATTGCAAGCAGGGAAATTTTGTGGAAGCAAAAAGGGCACTTATTGAGATGGAAACTAAGTGTAAGCAAGGAGATTTTGTTAAAGCTAAAAGGATACTTCTTGAGATGGAGAGTAACGGAGTTAAGCCTAACACCAAGACATACACTGCACTGATAGATGGTTATTGCCAGAAAGGTATAATGAATGAAGCTTATAAGCTAAGAATTGTCATGGAATCTAAGGACTTGATAGCTAACGTCTATACATACACCTCACTTGTACATGGGGAATGCAAATCAGGAAAGGTAGATGATGCTCTGAAGCTTTTCAATGAGATGCCTACAAAGGGTTTAGTTCCGAATGTTGTGACTTATACAGCAGTGATTTCTGGCTTATCAAAAGAAGGCAGATCAGGTGAAGCCCTCCGATTATACAATCAGATGATAGAGGCAGGCGTAATACATGATGCTGCTGCATACTCTGCACTTAGTGTGAGAAATTCTTCTCTATAAACTTGTACATCGTGAACTTTATTTGGATTAGATTTAGCCAGTCAGAAGTATATATAGCAGATTGTTTTTTAATTAAACTGGAATTCACTGAGTTAAACCATTAGCTATTGTACGTGTGCTTTTGTATAGTTTATTGATGTAGAATGCTTCTATTATGTCTGAAGTTTGTATTCTAATATGTACATGTGCATGTCAAAAGGATTAAAATTAAGGACCATATCTTGTGCTTGTTGAAAAGTTTAGTCTTCATGTGCAGTATATAGGTGTAGACCCCATACTTGTAACTTGTAACTTGATATCAGTTCCATGTTGAACATATGAAGGTTAAGAGTCATTGCTTGTTGGATATAGAAGAGAAAATTCTGCATGGTTAGTATTTTGGATATATTTGAGAGTGTTATCGAAGGGAAAAAACTTAAGCTTTGGTGGGACTTAAGCCTTTAAACGCAAAGGACAGTTAAAGCATGGACTTAGTTGGAAATGTGGAAATGAAGGATAAAGTAAAATGAAACAAATGTAATTGACGAATAATAATTGCAAGTACAAATGAAAATTATAGTAAGGATAAAAGAATTTAGAAATTTACGTGCAAGGATAAAGCCCATTGGTGATAAGGTGTATGCTTTAGTACCTTTGTGGCTGCACTGAAGCGCCAACTAAGTGAGGGTGAAGCACTCGAACTGTTATGCACCTCGCTTCTGAGTCTTTGACAACACCAATACTTGATTTATACTATCTCCACAATTTTCTTTTCTGATTACTACCCTTCTGGAAATTGTAGTTTTTTGGCGGGACAACTGGAGTAGCAAAGGTCCTCTAGCCAATGATTACCATGAAACAGAGAAGAATACCGAGACTCTAGTAAGACATTTCATTAATAATGGAACTTGGGGCAATGCAAAGATGCAGAACATCCTATGAGATAGCACAATTCAACAGATCAAGACCATTGGAATTGGCAAGTATGACACTCAAGACAAGGTCTTTTGGGACCTCACAGAAGATGGGAAATATTCCAACAGACCACAATATTGATCAGGTATGGAACTCCAACATTCCTTTTTAGATTTCATTTTTCGTTTGGAAATTCTGGCAGTGAACTTTCTTTTGACGAAGTCATTAGCAGATTTGGTATTCTGAAGGATACTCTATGCAACTGCTGCTCTCTTCCTAAAATGAAAATCAAATGCAACATGTTTTTCTTCATGGAGAGGCAGCTCAATATGTGTGGAAGCACTTTGGAGGGCCACTGGCAATCAGAACTTACAACTGGTGGAATCAAAAATCAAATAACTCCATCGACAAGCTAGTTCTTCAAACTATACCAGGCCTTATCTGTTTGGAGATTTTGAAACAAAGGTCCGAGTGTAGTAATTATGGAGGCTTAAGGAATTTCAACAGATATATGATGATCCAACACATTGGCTGCAGCATTCAGAGTACAATTGCTAAAGCTTATCCAAAAGTTGGTTTGACATTACTTTGGATCACTCTTTGTGAAAAATTTGTGCAGCTGGAACCTTTCTCATACCTTTCTATTGTATGCTGGAAGTTCCCTGAAAATGGCATCCTTAAATTGAAAACTTACGGAAGCTACTGCTCAGCTAGTGGAAAATCTGTTATGAGGGGAGTTTCGAGGGATGATAGAGGCAATCTCATCTTGGTTTTCTGCTCACCTTCGAGTTGTTGCAGCAGCACATAAGCAGAAGCTAAGGCTGCCAGTTATGGACTAAGCCTCTGCCTTCTGAAAAATCTGAAGAACTTCACCAAAGATACAGACTCTTTGATCCTATTTCCGATGATTGTGAACAACCAGCAATCCAACTACAAGCTGAATTTCATTATTGAGGAGATACAACAAAGAATGAAACTAGCTAATGTTAAAGCAACTCACTACGAGGCTAACGAAGTAGCACTGGCAATGAACAGTCGAAAACAATTCTTCTTTTGACTCCTTTCAACATCTTCCAGCAAGGGCAAAATAGAGGTAACCTATATTTCTAAAGTTCAGAAATGAAAATTTCAAATTGCACTGCTCAAGTTTATAGGTATTGAGTTGTTATTCACATGTCGACTCAAAAGGTTTATCAACCGGTAAAACAACGATTTCCCAATAGACCAATTAAAGAAATTGCCAAATTAATCTCCCTATTTCCCCCTTCCTCTTCTTCTTGCTCAAATTTCTTCAATTTCAAGCAAAGTCCCAATCTTGAAACCCATTTAGCCGTGTTTCTAGACTTGTTAAAATCCAAGGAGTTTGCTGAAGCTGAGAATATATTGAATGCTGTTGTTGTTACTGATGGTCTGAGGAAACCAGATTCAAAAATAGCTTCTTTGTTGAATGAGAATCATGTAAAGTGTAAGGTTATAGGGAAGATGTTTAATATGTTATTTAGTGTTTATGTTAATTACATGAGGTTTACTGAAGCTCTATAAGTTTTTGATTATATGAAAAAAGGCGCTTTAGAATTGATGATAGAGCTTGTATGGTTTACTTGCTTTCTATGAAAAGGCAAAGGCAATATGACTCGTTGTTCGAGTTTTTCCATAAGATGGTTGAATTTAATGTGAAAATTACAGTTTATTCGATGACGGTGGTAGTTGATGGATTGTGTAAAATGGGGGAGGTTTGTGAGGCTAGAAAACTCATGGATGAAATGGCTAGTAAAAGGGTGAAACCAAGTGATTACACTTCTAACATATTGTTACAAGCATATATGAAGATACAAGATTTTGTGGTTGTAAAGGAGATTTTGAGGAAAATCGAGAAAGATGGTTTGATCTCAATCTGACTAGTTATACGCTTCTGATTAAAGGATATTCAACTTTTGGCGATCTTGTAGAGGTTGAGAGGTTGTTTAAGGAATAGAAAAGAGGGTATAGAGCCAAATGTTCATTTATGCACCTCCATGATTAGTGGTTATAGTAAGTTAGGTAATGTTATGAAGGCATTTTCAACGTTTGTTGAAATGGTGGAGAGAGGCCTCATTCCTGATGTTCACACGTATGGAGCATTGATAAATGTCTTCTGCAAGGCTGGACTAATGCAAGGAGCTGAAGTTTTGCTAAAATGAGATGCAAGGCAAGGGCATTAGCATAGACCGGGTCATATTTAATACGATGATGGATGGTTACTGTAAGAAAGGTAATGTGGATGAAGCACTGAGGCTACAGACAATTATGGAGGGTGAAGGACATCAGCCTGATGCAAATGCTTACAATATAATTGCTACGGGCCTGCTTAAGCTAGAATTGTATGATGAAGCAAAAATGTTGTTGCTCTCAATGGTGGATCGAGGTGTAGCTCTAGATACAATTAGTTATACAACTTTGATCGATATTTATTGCAAGTAGGGAAATTTTGTGGAAGCAAGAAGGACACTTATTGAGATGGAAACTAAGCCTAACACGACAACATACACTACACTAGTAGATGGTTATTGCAAGCTGGGAAAAATTGTTGACGCAAAAAGGATACTTAGGGTGATGGAAATTGAAGGAGTTAAGCCCAACACAACAACAAACAGTGCCAGTTCCCTGATAGACGGTTATTGCAAGTAGGGAAATTTCATTGAAGCAAAAACGGTATTTAGTGAGATTGGAACTAAGGGAGTTACGCCTAGCACAGTAACGTACACTGCCCTGATACATGGTTATTGCAAGGTGCGAAATCTTGCTAAAGCTGAAAAGGTACTTATTGAGATGGAACCTAAGGGAGTTAAGCCTAACACGGTAACGTATCCTGCCCTGATAGATGGTTGTTGCAAGGTGGGAAATATTGCTAAAGCAATAAAGATACTAATTGAGATGGAAACTAAGGGAGTGAAGCCTAACATAGTAACGTACACTGCCCTGATAGATGGTTGTTGCAAGGTGGGAAATATTGCTAAAGCAATAAAAATACTTATTGAGATGGAAAATAAAGGATTTAAGCCTAATGCAATTACTTGCAATGCCCTGAAGATGGTTATTGTAAGAAAGGTACGATGAAAGAAGATTTGAGATGGATACTAAGGGAGTTAAACCTAACACAATTACTTACAATGCACTGTAGATGGTTATTGTAAGAAAGGTACGATGAGAGAAGGTTTAAGGATTGTCATGATGTCCCAGATGTCTATACATACACATCTTATATTACATCGGGAATGCATATCAGGAAAAGTAGATGTTGCTGTGAAGCTTTTCATCGAGATTCCTACAAAGGGTTTAGTTCTGGATGTGGTGACTTTCAGAACGATGATTTCTGGCCTATCAAAAGAGGGCAGATCAAATGAAACCTTCAGATTATACAATCAGATAATAGAGGCAGGCCTAACACTCGGTGTTGTTACATACCCTACACTTGTGGATATACTAACTTGTAAGTCATTAACTTCACATAAGTCAGACCTAACTAATTGGAGGCATAACAGATTGTTTAGCACTTCTTCATGGTGTTTTACTTGAGCAAATTGAATTATATGGTGCAGGACATCCTGCAGAAATTTGGAGTTCCTAGCTTGTTACTGCAAATCTTAGTGTTGTCCATGGACATTGTCTGCCATAAACTCAAGGTTGATAGCGATTTGAGACCCAAGAAAGAGCAAAACTGCATCTCAGAATTTAGCTGCTTGATTTACTTCATTTAGACAATGATCTAAGAAAACTGGAGATATATAGCCCTATGACTCTGTAAGTATGCAGATGACAATATAAAACTTGCTATTATTTGAATCAACATACTGTTACCTTAATAAAAAATATTTGAATCAACATGAAATATCAACCATGAGATTAAATAACTGTGGGCTTTAAAGATAAATATTGTTCATTACGAAGTCATGATGGGAATTCACTTGCTTAGTGTGTAATTTCAACTTTTGAGGCATTTGGTTCAAAATGTTCCGCTACATGTTCGTTCTTAAAGCAGTATTGCTTCCTAGGTCGTCCAGTACATTATTCTCTTGAAAATGGAAGAACCAGAATAAAAGAAGTTTGTTACTCTGGAGATGCTGGTGGAGATGTATTACAAATTTTAGGTTTTGTTACTTTTTTGGTTGAGTGGCCTAGCTTCTAATCATTTTTATACGGTTATATGACCTAAATTTTAGCATGTAATATAGAAGCTGGATCACCTTTTTATGGCTATCATGTGATTTAACAGTCAGTTTCATTCATTAGGAAGAAGAAGAAAAACAAAGTGACTAGCTTGTTCTTTTATCATTTTCTTGGAGTTCCAATACATATAACTTCTTGCAGGGTGGGTCAATTTACACTAGAACAATCATTTTTTGAAAGTCTTAACAAAATTTTGCAAAGACTCTAGTCTTATCTTGCCTATAATACGAGATTGACAACTATCCCCACAGGCCTGCCATGGATTTCTTAGTTAGTTGTTGCCTTGTAAAATACTCTGGATCAAGTTATAGAAAACTTCCTTCCACTGCAGTAAGCCAGTACCTAGCGTGTTTGATTGATTTCTGGACCAATTCTTGATAGTCCAAAATCAAAAACTTTAGCCCTGAGATTTTTATCAAGCAATAGGTTTGGAGATTTGATGTCAAAGCGGATGATTGCTTGCTGCAAAGTATGAAGATAATGAAGTCCTCTGATCCTATGCGAGTTTCAAGCCTTTGCGTTCAAATTTAAATTTGGAAAGTTTGAGACATACCGATGATCCTTAAAGAGTTCCATTCACCATTGTCATAAGTAATAATCTTCTCATTCTTTTCGTCGGAGTACACAATGATATACCTTTGCTATTTTCCAACCTTGGTGATACATGTATATCCTACCTATATGTAGCATCTAGCATGTAGAATAGGTAACCACTCTACTTTAGTGTTACATAAGACTCCTATAAGAACAGAAGATTACCTAAATGAGTGTCTGGTTTCATTTCAATATTCTAAATCTGATATATGACAAATTCATTTTTTGCCGCCTACGTAGCAAAATTACATAAATAAAAGATATTATTGAGCATCAACGACATCGTTAGCTAGAACATCATCTAGTACATTGCCTTATTAGAATTTATAAACGAAACTAATTGCATCTCATTTCCTAATAGAATAATGTCTCTCACTAAAGACGAGATCTTCCAAGGGAACAACCCATTCCCCCTAGCCCTTGGAATCAGTTTTTAGTTTGACTTTTGCGATAATATTCTTTTTTTCAATCCATTGTTGTCCACACGACTTTGCCTAGACTTTAGTGTGATTATTTAGGTAAATATTCAGAAATCTTCCTTCGGCCATAATTAAAACACTCCTTCAATCTGTGTCTATATACTGAGCTTAAGTCCTTAATTTTCTCTCGATACTCCATTTGCATTGAACTTCATCCTTTAATGTGGTTTCAATATTTGCTCGGCCTTTATACTGGCTACACAGTTTAAATTGCACCTGTAACTCGAAAATTCAGGCCATCTCTTTGAAGTTCTTGACAAATCAGGATATAATGTATATACTAGATTATTTTGGCTACATTGCACTAGGATGATCCCTCTATCTATTCATACATTGCTCCACGGAATTATTACATGTCTGCATAAACTAGGTATTTCTATAGAGTTTAGCACTCTGTTTCATTTGTCAAAAATTGAAGCAGCAGATAACCATACTTATTCGTATTGTTTGATTGATGTACAGTGAGCAAATCTATATCTCCTCTCAAAAGTTTAGATTATATCCTTTAATGCAATTTGCAGTACCTTCAAAGACATTTCTGGCATTCATATGAGGACCATTTTAGCTGCATGTGCTCGATCATCAGTGGAGTACTGTGAAGTTCTCCTTCTGCATTCCTCACTTTCCTTACAAAGACTCAAAGTCTCCAACTTTTCTCTTTTTTTCTGAATTTGTGAAGATAATTCGTATCAGTGTGTTGATACACTTAACTTTTTCAGATAGAGAGAAAATTTTCGCCGTTTTCATAGCTCAGTATCTTCGTCAACACTTCTCTTTCAACAATCTCTTCAAGGTTTACAACTCCCCATTCCACTCAACTGTAATTGAATCTTCTCTCTATCTGAAAAAGCTAAGTGTATCAACAGACTGATACGAATTGTCTTCACAAATTCAGAAAAAGAGGAAAGTTGGTGACTTGAGTCTTTGTAAGGAAAATGAGGAATGCAGAAGGAGAACTTCATAGTACTCCACTGATGATCGAGCACATGCAGCTAAAATGGTCCTCATATGAATGCAGAAATGTCTTTGAAGTTACTGCATCAGAGGACATAATATAAACTTTTGAGTGGAGATATAGATTTACTCACTGTACATCAATCAAACAATACAAATAAGTATAGTTATCTGGTGCTTCAATTTTTGACAGATGAAACAGAGTGCTAAACTCTACAGAAATACCTAGTTTATGTAGACATGTAATAATTTTGTGGATTAATGTATGAATAGATAGAGGGATCATCCTAGTGCAATGTAGCCAACATAATCTAGTATATACGCTATATCCTGATTTGTCAAGAACTTCAAAGAGATGGCCTGAACTTTCGAGTTATAGGAGCAATTTAAACTGTGTAGCCCGTATAAAGGCCGAGCAAATATTGAAACCACATTAAAGGATGAAGTTCAATGCAAATAAAGTATCGAGAGAAAATTAAGGACTTAACCTCAGTATATAGCCACAGATTGAAGGAGTGTTTTAATTATGTAATTTTGCTACGGAGGCGGCAAAAAATGAATTTGCCCTATATCAGATTTAGAATATTGAAATGAAACCAGACACTCATTTAGGTAATCTTCTGTTCTTATAGGAGTCTTATGTAACACTAAAGTAGAGTGGTTACCTATTCTAGATGCTACATATAGGTAGGATATACATGTATCACTAAGGTTGGAAAATGGCAAAGGTATATCATTGGGTACTGCGATGAAAAGAATGAGAAGATTATTACTTATGACAATGGTGAATGGAACTCTTTAAGGATTATTTGTATGTCTCAGACCTTCCAAATTTGAACGCAAAGGCCTGAAACTCTCAGAGGACTTCATTATCTTCATACTTTTCACCAGACAATTATCCGATTTGACATCAAATCTCCAAACCTATTGCTTGATAAAAATCTCAGGGCTAAAGTTTTTGATTTTGGACTATTAAGAATTGGTCCAGAAATTGATCAAACACGTTAGGTACTGGCTTACTGCAGTGGAAGGAAGTTTTCTATAACTTGATCCAAAGTATTTTACAAGGCAACAACTAACTGAGAAATCTATGGCAGGCCTGTGGGATAGTTGTCAATCTCGTATTGTAGGCAAGATAAGACTAGTAGAGTCTTTCTTTGCAAAATTTTGTTAAGACTTTCAAAAAATGATTGTTCTGGTGTAAATTGACCCACCCTGCAAGAAGTTATATGTATTGGAACTCCAAGAAAATGATAAAAGGAACAAGGTAGTCACTTTGTTTTTCTTCTTCTTCCTAATGAAGGTAACTGACTATTAAATCACATGACCGCCATAAAAAGGATCCAGCTTCTATATTACATGTTAAAATTTAGGTCATATAACCGTATAAAAATGATTAGAAGCTAGGCCACTCAACCAAAAAGGTAACAAAACCTAAAATTTGTAATACATCTCCAGAGTAACGCACTTCTTTTATTCTGGTTCTTCCATTTTCAAGAGAATAATGTACTAGACGACCTAAGAAGCAATACTGTTGCTTTAAGAATGAACATGTAGCGGAACATTTTGAACCAAATGCCTCAAAAGTTGAAATTACACACTAAGCAAGTAAATTCCCATCATAATGAACAATATTTATCTTTAAAGCCCACAGTTATTTAATCTCATGGTTGATTCAAATATTTTTTATTAAGGCAACAGTATGTTGATTCAAATAATAGCAAGTTTTATATCGTAATGTCATTTGCATACTTACAGAGTCATAAGGCTATATATCTCCAGTTTTCTTAGATCATTGTCTAAATGAAGTAAATCAAGCTGCTAAATTCTGAGCTGCAGTTTTGCTCTTTCTTGGGTCTCAAATCGCTATCAACCTTGAGTTTATGGCAGACAATGTCCATGGACAACACCTAAGATTTGCAGTAACAAGCTAGGAACACCAAATTTCTGCAGGATGTCCTGCACCATATAATTCAGTTTGCTCAAGTAAAACACCATGAAGAAGTGCTAAACAATTTGTTATGCCTCCAATTAGCTAGGTCTGACTTATGTGAAATTAATGACTTACAAGTTAGTATATCCACAAGTGCATGGTATGTAACAACACCGAGTGTTAGGCTTGCCTCTATCATCAGATTGTATAATCTGAAGGCTTCATTTGATTTGCCATTTTTTGATAGGCCAGAAATCATCGTTCTGAAAATCACCACATCCAGAACTAAACCCTTTGTAGGAATCTCGATGAAAAGCTTCAAAGCAACATCTACTTTTCCTGATATGTATTCTCAATGTAATATAAGAGGTGTATGTATGGACATCATGACAATCCTTAAATCTTCTCTCATCGTACCTTTCTTACAATAACCATCTTCAGGGCATTGTAAGTAATTGTGTTAGGTTTAACTCCCTTAGTATCCATCTCAAACCTTCTTTCATCGTACCTTTCTTACAATAACCATCTTCAGAGCATTGTAAGTAATTGCGTTAGGCTTATTTTCCATCTCAATAAGTATTTTTATTGCTTTAGCAATATTTCCCACTTGCAACAACCATCTATCAGGGCAGTGTACGTTACTGTGTTAGGCTTAACTCCCTTAGTTTCCATCTCAATAAGTACCTTTATTGCTTTAGCAATATTTCCCACCTTGCAACAACTATCTATCATGGCAGTATACGTTACCGTGTTAGGCTAACTCCCTTAGTTTCCATCTCAATAAGTTCCTTTTCAGCTTTAGCAGGATTTCGCACCTTGCAATAACCATCTATCAGGGCAGTGTATATTATTGTGTTAGGCTTAGTTCCAATCTCACTAAATGTCGTTTTTGCTTCGATGAAATTTCCTTGCTTACAATAAGTGTCTATCAGGGCACAGACACTGTTTGTTGTTGTGTTAGGTTTAACTCCTTCAGTTTCCATCACCCTAAGTATCCTTTTTGCGTCAACAATTTTTCCCAGCTTGCAATAACCATCTACCAGTGGAGTGTATGTTGCCGTGTTAGGCTTAATTGCCTTAGTTTCCATCTCAATAAGTGCCCTTTTTGCTTCCACAAAATTTCCCTCCTTGCAATAAATATCGATCAAAGTTGTATAACTAATTGTATCTAGAGCTACACCTCGATCCACCATTGAGAGCAACAACATTTTTGCTTCATCATACAATTCTAGCTTAAGCAGGCTCGTAGCAATTATATTGTAAGCATTTGCATCAGGCTGATGTCCTTCACCCTCCATAATTGTATGTAGCCTCAGTGCTTCATCCACATTATCTTGCTTACAATAACCATCCATCATCGTATTAAATATGACCCGGTCTATGCTAATGTCCTTGCCTTGCATCTCATTTTGTAAAACTTCAGCTCCTTGCAGAAGCCATTTATCAAAGCTCCATATGTGTGACCATCAGGAATGAGGCCTCTCTCCACCATTTCAACAAACGTTGAAAATTCCTTCATAACATTACCTAACTTACTCTAACCACTAATTATGGAGGTGTATAAATGAAAATTTGGCTCTATCTCCTTAAACAACCTCTACAAGATCGCCAAAAGTTGAATATCCTTTAATCAGAAGTGTATAACTAATCAGATTGAGATCAAAACCATTCTTGTGAAACCAAATTATTGCACTTAGAAATTTATTGTACAAATGAAAATTATAGTAAGGATAAAAGAATTTAGAAATTTACGTGCAAGGATAAAGCCCATTGGTGATAAGGTGTATGCTTTAGTACCTTTGTGGCTGCACTGAAGCGCCAACTAAGTGAGGGTGAAGCACTCGAACTGTTTTGCACCTCGCTTCTGAGTCTTTGACAACACCAATACTTGGTTTATACTATCTCCACAATTTTCTTTTCTGATTACTACCCTTCTGGAAATTGTAGTTTTTGGTGGGACAACTGGAGTAGCAAAGGTCCTCTAGCCAATGATTACCATGAAACAGAGAAAAATACCGAGACTCTAGTAAGACATTTCATTACCAATGGAACTTGGGATAATGCAAAGATGCAGAACATCCTATGAGATAGCACAATTCAATATATCAAGACCATTGGAATTGGCAAGTATGACACTCAAGATAAGGTCTTTTGGGACCTCACAGAAGATGGGAAATATTCTAACAGACCACAATATTGATCAGGTATGGAACTCCAACATTCCTTTTAAGATTTCATTTTTCGTTTGGAAATTCTGGCAGTGAAAATTTTCCTTTGACTAAGTCATTAGCATATTTGGTATTCTGAAGGATACTCTATGCAACTGCTGCTCTCTTCCTAAATTGAAAATCAAATGCAACATGTTTTTCTTCATGGAGAGGCAGCTCAATATGTGTGGAAGCACTTTGGAGGGCCACTGGCAATCAGAACTTACAACTGGTGGAATCAAAAATCAAATAACTCCACCGACACGCTAGTTCTTCAAACTATACCAGGCCTTATCTGCTTGGAGATTTAGAATCAAAGGTCCGAGCGTAGTAATTATGGAGGCTTAAGGAATCTCAACAGATATATGATGATCCAACTCATTGGGTGCAGCATTCAGAGTACAATTGCTAAAGCTATCCAAAAGTTGGTTCGACATAACTTTGGATCACTCTTTGTGAAAAATTTGTGAAGCTGAAACCTGCCTCAAACCTTTCTATTGTATGCTGGAAGTTCCCTGAAAATGGCGTCATTAAATTGAAAACTGACGGAAGCTACTGCTCAGCTAGTGGAAAATTTGGTATGAGGGGAGTTTTGAGGGATGATAGAGGCAATCTCATCTTCGCTTTCTCCTCACCTTCGAGTGGTAGCAGCATCACAGAAGCAGAAGCTAAGGCTGCCAGTTTTGGACTAAGAGCCTCTGCATTTTGAAAAATCTGAAGAATTTCACCAAAGAGAGACTCTTTGAACCTATTTCCTATGATTTTGAACAACCAGTAATCCAACTACATGCTGAATTTCATCATTGAGGAGATACAACAAAGAATGAAACAAGCTAATGTTAAAGCAACTCACTACTTTAGAGAGGCTAACGATGTAGCGGATCACCTGGTAAAACAGGCTATGAACAGTCAAAAAAAAATTTCTTTCGACTCCTTTCAACATCTTCCAGCAAGGGCAAAAGGGCCTTTCTATTTGGATAAAGGTCAAATGCCATCAATTAGATTGAAATATTATGAGACAAACTTTTTTGCTAGCTTAATATAGATTAGTGTCTTATTGTGGGGGTTAACTTGTTGATATTAGTCTCCTAACCCTCCTTTTGCAAAGGGTAAAGTGTTTTATCCTTGTGTTGTATTGTGAGGTAAGGCCAAGCTGTGGTATGAGGAAATCATGGATTAGTAACTTAATTAAATATAATTTCTTGTAGTTTTAGTTTTGGCCTTTTTGATTGTATCACTTAAACTTGAATGGATTTTGAAACATTGGAATGGTCAACTAAATCCATATTCGCGCTGGGAAGTCCCACATTAGGGGTAAACTGCTTCCTAACAAAGGCGACTCGAACCCGAGACCTCTTGGTTAATGATGAAAGAGTACTTACCACTCCAACACAATTTCAAAGATTTCAATGTTAGAAAGAGATAATATTGTTAAGATACTATAATGGTTAAAGAAAAATATTTCATGTAAAATTCAATTAAATGTCTTCTTGTTAAAGATAAATTGTTTTTACTACACTTTAATTAAATAAAAATTAAGAAGTTTTTGTGCGTATTCTCAAGCGTTCATTATAATAAATAAGTTTACTATTTAAAATATATCACCTCCTTTAGTTACATACATTAGCCTTAATAAGCTATCACACCTTGTATATGTTCCAATTGATGCTTATGTGTATGATAAAAAGAGGTGATATATTTAATGTAATTAATTTATTTATGTGATAAACTCTCACATATACATAAACTTTTCCAAAATATGAAGTGTTTGTTCCACATGGTCATTTAACTAATACTTATCTCAATTATTTTTTTAATTCCATTTATCTTCAACAAAAAAAAAGTGACTTTACGAGATAATAACTACTAATTGAGTAACAATATGAGAAATCAACTCAATGACTTTACGAGATAATAACTATTAATTGAGTAACAATATGAGAAATCAACTCAATTATGAATAGAAAGTGCTTATAAAGAATACTTTATCTGTTTATTATGTGTTCAAATTTTCAATTAAAAGAAATTATAATTTAAATGTCTAAATAAAATTCAATGAGAAATTTAAGTTCCACGAGGTGTAAAATTTGAAATTGAGTTGATGGAGATTGGAGAGGAATAATTGCACCAAATTAGTAGCAAAACGTCAAATATGAGGACTAAATGTAACTTCTTAAAATTATAGAGGGTCAATTTGTACACATTTTATGAGGAATCATTTGTACTTCAATTAAAGTTCTTCACGCCGTCACACTACAGTTTTATAAATTTGCTGAACTCGCCGGAAAACATGGCATCTGCACTTGTGTTAAGAGGTAACCTTTATTTCTAAAGTTCAGAAATGAAAATTTCAAATTGCACTGCTCAAGTTTTATAGGTATTGAGTTGTTCTTCACATGTCGACTCAAAAAATTTACCAACCGGTAAAACAACGTTTTCCCAAGAGACCCATTAAAGAAATTGCCAAATTAATCGCCCTCTTCCCCCCTTCCCTTTCTTCTTGCTCAAATTTCTTCAATTTCAAGCAAAGTCCCAATCTTGAAACCCATTTAGCCGTAGTTCTAGACTTGTTAAAATCCAAGGAGTTTGCTGAAGCCGAGAATATATTGAATGCTGTTGTTGTTACTGATGGTATGAGGAAACCAGTTTCAAAAATAGCTTCTTTGTTGAGTGAGAATCATGTAAAGTGTAAGGTTATAGGGAAGATGTTTAATACTCCCTCCGTCCCTTTTTAGTTGTCCACTTTAGAAATGGCACACAGATTAAGACAGCAATGATTAGCACAGTGAAGTTACAATTTTACCCTTATGACAATTTTTCACTTCAAAAATTACAACCACTTATTTGAATTCAAGTAAAATAAATTGGAGGGAAACAACATACACTTTTACAATTTTCAAGAAGTGTAAATAAGGGTATAATAGGAAAAAATTTGTTGTCCTTTCTTGATTTGTCAAAATGGACAACTAAATAGGGACAACCAAAAAAGAAAATACGGACAAGTAAATAGGGACGGAGGGAGTATGTTATTTAGTGTTTATGTTAATAACATGAGGTTTAATGAAGCTCTACAAGTTTTTGATTATATGAAAAAAGGGTGCTTTAGAATTGATGATAGAGCTTGTATGGTTTACTTGCTTGCTATGAAAAGGCAAAGGCAATATGATTCGTTGTTCGAGTTTTTCCATAAGATGGTTGAGTTTAATGTGAAAATTACAGTTTATTCGATGACGGTGGTAGTTGATGGATTGTGTAAAATGGGGGAGGTTTGTGAGGCTAGAAAGCTTATGGATGAAATGGCTAGTAAAAGGGTGAAACCAAGTGATTACACTTATAACATACTGTTACAAGAATATATAAAGATACACGATTTTGTGGCTGTAAAGGAGATTTTGAGGGAAATGGAGAAGGATGGTTTTGATCTCAATCTGACTAGTTATACACTTCTGATTAAAGGATATTCAACTTTTGGCGATCTTGTAGAGGTTGAGAGGTTGTTTAAGGAAATAGAAAAGAAGGGTATAGAGCCAAATGTTCATTTATGCACCTCCATGATTAGTGGTTACAGTAAGTTAGGTAATGTTATGAAGGCATTTTCAACGTTTGTTAAAATGGTGGAGAGAGGTCTCACTCCTGATGGTCACACATATGGAGCTTTGATAAATAGCTTCTGCAAGGCTGGACTAATGCAAGGAGCTGAAGTTTTGCTAAATGAGATGCAAGGCAAGGGCATTAGCATAGACCGGGTCATATTTAATACAATGATGGATGGTTACTGTAAGCAGGGTAATGTGGATGAAGCACTGAGGCTACAGACAATTATGGAGGGTGAAAGACATCAGCCTAATGCAAATGCTTACAATATAATTGTTATGGGCATGCGTAAGCTAGAATTGTATGATGAAGCAAAACGTTTGTTGCTCTCTATGGTGGATCGAGGTGTAGCTCCAGATACAATTAGTTATACAACTTTGATTGATATTTATTGCAAGCAGGGAAATTTTGTGGAAGCAAAAAGGGCACTTATTGAGATGGAAACTAAGGAAATTAAGCCTAACACAACAACATACACTACACTGGTAGATGGTTATTGCAAGCTGGGAAAAATTGTTGACGCAAAAAGGATACTTAGGGTGATGGAAACTGAAGGAGTTAAGCCTAACACAACAACAAACAGTGTTTGTGCCATGATAGACGGTTATTGCAAGTAGGGAAATTTCATTGAAGCAAAAACGGTATTTAGTGAGATTGGAACTAAGGGAGTTAAGCCTAACACAGTAACGTACACTGCCCTGATACATGGTTATTGCATGGTGCGAAATCTTGCTAAAGCTGAAAAGGTACTTATTGAGATGGAACCTAAAGGAGTTAAGCTTAACATGGTAACGTATCCTGCCCTGATAGATGGTTGTTGCAAGGTGGGAAATATTGCTAAAGCAATAAAAATACTTATTGAGATGGAAAATAAAGGATTTAAGCCTAATGCAATTACTTGCAATGCCCTGAAGATGGTTATTGTAAGAAAGGTACGATGAGAGAAGGTTTAAGGATTGTCATGATGTCCCAGATGTCTATACATACACATCTTATATTACATCGGGAATGCATATCAGGAAAAGTAGATGTTGCTGTGAAGCTTTTCATCGAGATTCCTACAAAGGGTTTAGTTCTGGATGTGGTGACTTTCAGAACGATGATTTCTGGCCTATCAAAAGAGGGCAGATCAAATGAAACCTTCAGATTATACAATCAGATAATAGAGGCAGGCCTAACACTCGGTGTTGTTACATACCCTACACTTGTGGATATACTAACTTGTAAGTCATTAACTTCACATAAGTCAGACCCTTGAGATGGAAAATAAGGGAGTTAAGTCTAACACAATTACTTACAATGCCCTGAAGATAGTTATTGTAAGAATGGTACGATGAAAGAAGGTTTGAGATGGATACTAAGGGAGTTAAAGTAACACAATTACTTACAATGCCCTGCAGATGGTTATTGTAAGAAAGGTACGATGAGAGAAGGTTTAAGGATTGTCATGATGTCCCAAATGTCTATACATACACCTTTTATATTACATCGGGAATGCATATCAGGAAAAGTAGATGCTACTTTGAAGCTTTTCGAGATTATTACATAGTTTAAATTGCTCCAGTAAGTCCAAAGTTCAGGCCATCTTTTTGAAGTTCTTGACTAATCAGGATATAGTGCATATACTAGATTGTGTTGGCTACATTGCTCTAGGATGATCCCTCTATCTATTGATACATCACTCCAAGGAATTATTACATGTTTGCAGAGTTTAGAACTCTGTTTCATCTGTCAAATATTGAAGCACCAGATAACTATACTATTTGTATCTTTTTTCATATTGTTTGATTGATGTACATTGAGCAAATCTAAATCTATATCTCCTCTCAAAAATTTGTATTACAGATAAACTGAGTGATCATGAATGTTTATGATTTTGATAGGTATGTTCTCTTTTACACCTTTCTAGTACGTTACAGTTGTGACGTATTAAATTCTGAATATATTATGTCCTCTGAAGCAATCTACAGTACCTTCAAAGACATTTTTTGGCACTCATATAAGGACCATTTTAGCTGGATGTGCTCGATCATCAGTGGAGTACTATGAAGTTCTCCTTCTGCATTCCTCATTTTCCTTACAGAGACTCTGGTCACCAACTTTCCTCTTTTTCTGAATTTGTGAAGACAATTGGTATCAGCCTGATGATACACTTAACTTTTTCAGATTGAGTATAGAGAGAAGATTCAATTACAGTTGAGTGGAACGGCGAGTTGTAAGAGATTGTTGAAAGAGAAGTGTTGATGAAGATGCTGAGCTATGAAAACGTTGACAAGGTGAAGACAATGTTGAAAGAACTGAAGAGGAAGTAGAGCATGACAATACTGCATTTATGCTCAGTTCCTTCGTGAACGAAGTTTAGAATTAACAAGGGTTTGTAAAACGAAAGGAATGTATAACTGGGGTGCAGCCTCACTATTTTGTTTGGGAATGTATTAAACATTGTTGTATATTTTGGAAATTCTTATGCTTTTTTTTAGGAATATTATGTGATGTGAAATAATGACATTCGTTTTTTCTCGCTTTGAAATCAACAAAATAAAAAGAAAAATAGATGATAAAAATTAAAAATATACAAAACCAAACTTGATAATTGTTTTTTTCACCCTGAGAAAGGCTTGTAGTAAAAAGACATCTTTGAATCAATGAGTCAATGAAGAGGAGTTATCACTAATCACACACACTTTCATCCTTGATCAGAGTTTCAAGTTCTTGTTTCCTTGGAACTTAGGGAGCGCTAGAACTTTCCGATGTGAATTCGAATTTAGTTAGGATTCAACGTGGATATCAGAGCGCTGGAACTTTTCGACATGAATTCGAATTTAGTTGAGATTCAACGTGGATACCAGCTCTTCAATATGGAACTTTCCGACGTGAATTTTAATTTAGTTGGAATTCAACGTGGATACCAGACATCGGGTGGAAACAAAAAAAAACAGCATAACTTTAAAATAGGGACTTAATGGATGTTTCAAGAAGCATTTGGGCCAAATTTCAACTCTTTCAGAACTATAAAAGGGCTAAAATTCAGCTGACGCCGTCTTCCCCAGTTACTGAAGAAACAAAACCTCGCCGGGAACTGGACTCCGTCACCGGAAAAACATGTCAGCAGTGTCAACCTTCCGGTAATCTCTTTAAACCCATAAAATTTCCATTGTAAAAATCTCAACTTTATTCTCAAATGTCGACTCGAAAGTTTTACCAAACTGCAAAACAACTGTTTTCCAAAAAACCAAATGAAGAAATTGCTAAATTGATCTCCAATACTCTGATAAATTTCAGTTCTACAAAGAAAATCCCCCCATCTCTAACTTCCTACCTTAATCCCCAAGTAACCCATCTTGTTTTTTTAAACCCATCTGTTCCTACACAATCTTGTTTAAGTTTCTTCAAATTTCTCCAAAAAAATCAATCTTTCGAAAGGCCCAATCTTGAATCACACATAGCCTTGTTTTTGCGCTTGTTTAAAGCCAGGAAATTTGCTGAAGCCAAAAGTATATTGCATACTGTTGCTTCTGATGATAGTTTAAGGAAACCAATTTTAGAAATAGCTTCTTTTTTGGGGGAGAATCATGTAGACCATAAAGTTATGGGGAAGATGTTTGACATGTTGTTTAGGGTTTATGTTGATAGTATGAGGTTTAAGGAAGCTCTTGAGGTTTTTGAGTATATGAAGAATGGTGGGTTTGAGATAGATGATAGATCTTGTATGGTTTACTTACTTGCTATGAAAAGGCGAAAACAGTATGACTCGCTGGTTGAGTTTTTCGAGATGATGGTTGAATCTGATGTGAGAATTACAGTGTATTCTATGACGATGGTTATAGACGGGTTGTGTAAAGTAGGAGAGGTTAGCAAGGCAAGAAAACTCATGGATGAGATGGTTAGTAAAGGGGTGAAACCAAATGTGTACACTTACAATACATTATTAGATGCTTGTATGAAAATGCCAGATTTTGTGGCTCTGAAGGAGATTTTGTTGGCAATGGAGAAAGAGGGGTTGGATCTTGATGTGACAGGTTATACTCTTCTGATTGACGGGTATTGTAATATTGGCAATCTTAAAGAGGTTGAGAGGTTGTTTAGGGAAATAGAAGGGAAAGGCATAGAGCCAGATGTTCATTTATACACCTCTATGATTAGTGGTTGTAGTAAGTTAGGTAATGTCAAAAAAGCATTTTCAGTGTTTGATGAAATGGTGGAGAGGGGTCTCATCCCGAATGCTCACACATATGGAGCTTTGATAAATTGCTTGTGCAAGGCTGGTCAGATGCAAGCTGCTGAAGTTTTACTTAATGAGATGCAAAGTAAGGGGATTGATATAGGTCCAGTTATATTTAATACAATGATGGATGGTTACTGTAAGCAAGGTAATATAGATGAAGCATGGAGGCTGCAAAAAATTATGGAGGGCAAAGGGTATGAATCTGATGTATATGTTTATAACATAATTGCTACTGGATTGTGTAAGTTAGATCGGTGTGAGGAAGCAAAGACGTGGTTGTTCTCAATGGTGGATCGAGGCGTAGCTCCAAACGAAGTTGCTCATACAACTTTGATCAGTATTTATTCCAAGGAAGGAAATTTTGTTGAAGCAAAAAGGACACTTCGTGAGATGGAAGCAAAGGGAGTTAAGCCTAATACGGCAACGTACAATACCCTGATAGATGGTTATTGCAAGAAGGGTATGATGAAGGAAGCATATAAGCTAAAGAATGTTATGGAATGTAAAGGCCTGAAACCTGATCTCTATACATACACCTCACTTGTACACGGGGAATGCATATCAGGAAAGGTAGATGATGCTCTGAAACTTTTCAACGAGATGCCTCGAGAAGGTTTAGTTCCAAATGTGGTGACTTACACAGCAATGATTTCTGGCTTATCGAAAGAGGGCAGATCAGATGAAGCCTTCAGATTATATGATGAGATGATAGAGGCAGGACTTACACCTGATGCTAGCGCATATTCTGCTCTCGTGGGCAGTCTTCATGGTTGACGTTTATTTAGTGTGTGAAGTTGTTCTAGGAATTTGTAATCGTAAACATCAAAAGTAAATCAAATTTAGCTAATTGGAGATATAACAGATTGTTCAATATATCCTCCAGATGTTTTATATAAAAGGAATATATTGCAGGACACTCTCAGAGATTCAATGTGCCTGGCTTGTTGCTTGTCATTGCAGATCTTATGTTGTCCTTGGACATGGTCCGACATTATCTGTTATACATTTACAAAAGATTCAAGAAAGAGCAAAGGCACTGCTCAGATAGTCAGATCTAAGCTGCTTGAATTCCTCTTATGATTTTAGCACATTTATCTACAGGAGGATGATAGGGCTATGATATCTGTAAGTATTTGGAGGACTTTATGGTCTTAAAAGATAAGTTTTGTTTTGACACAGTCATGATGAGAAAACCACTGCTTAGTGTATTATCTCAAACTTTGGAGGCTCTTGGTTCAAAATATATTTTGCTACCTCACACATTTTTTCTTTAAGCTATGTTGCTTTCTTGGTTGTCCAGTACAATATTCTCTTGAGAATGGAAGAACCAGAAGAAAGAAGTGGTGGATGATGGCAACTTTGTAGGTAACATCACATTTTTTTGACTGAGTGGCCTAGTTCTAATCTTAATCTATACCGCGTGTAAGCTTTTAGCAAAAAGCATGATGTGCTTTAGAAGTTGGATCATTCTTGTGCAACAGTCATGTGATATTAGTGTCAGTTATTCTCACAAGGAAGAAGAAAAAGAACCACAGATGTGTTTCTTGTACTAGATGATGGAAAAGACTTTTCAGATATGCAGTGTGCTTTAATACTGAGGTGAAAGAATAGATGGCTTGTGGCAAGTCTCATCATTGTGGCTGATTGGCTTCTGAGGCACAATATCTATGCAGCGCCCAGTCCAATTGTTAATAAGTTAGTATGGCCATGGCCTTTGTTCCTTGACTTCGAGACCCAAGCACACTTGTCAAAGTTGCCAACACTCTCTGCTGATTCATAGAATTGGGTTCCAAGTAATTTATCAGGCAAGCAATAAACTGGCCATATATGTGACTTTCTTGTACTTGTTTTCGATAGTCTGCCTTCTGAAGCTGTCTGTAACTTTCAAAAGAAACGAAGCATGAGGTTCTGTTTGCCAGAGACTTGTTTGGTTAAGATCTTATAATCTTTTGGAAAAAACATTTAAGTGGAGTTCATCTCACAGAACATTTGCAACCCTTAAGAAAACTGCAACTCTCTATGCACTTATTCTTTTTGCACAAAATTTTTCTTCAAGAATAGTCCAAATGCCTAGTAGCTCCAACTTTTTGCATCATCATGGGAGTAATCTTATAATTATATTAGCTATGAGATATCTCCATTACCATTTGAAATGACTATTTTATACCTATTAAATCTATGTCTATTTGCCCCTCCTAAGCTCTTCAGGTTGTGTAGTTTGATAAAGAACTCATGATATGCTTGTGTCACTTTACAGTTTGCGTCAATCTGTATGCCAATATTCTAATATATTTTGCAATATGAGATGTTCTTTTCTTGAATATACTTCTAACTCTTTTCACTCTGTTACTTCCCTTTCCCATTTGTACCTTGTTACTATTTTGCTTTCATAGTGAGGTGAGAAAAGAATGTTGCCTTTTGGACTTACTGCTGTTTGTCTGAGTATCTTTTAGCTCTCTTTGCAGATTTTTATCCATGAGATGAAAGTAGACAATATGAACAGGGGGAGGGACAAGACGGCACAGGTTCAGTAATGAGAAGGAGAAGGAGGATTAAATCCATTGGAGCAGGGAAGCTTATTTATTCCACTTTGAAGGAGTATTTCCTGGTAATGATTTGGTGAGTTTTCTGGTAGTGGATTCCCTTTTTGGCCTTGCTAATGTGGATGCTTTGTGCACTGGACTTCCCATGGATTTTGTCTTCATACCTAACTAAAAAACTCCAACTTGCTTGGGATTGAGCATAGTTTTTTTTTTTTTTGTTGGTCAACTAAGAAACTCATATACTCATATGGCCAACGTTCCCTTGTTTGGACCTATAACAGCTTCATTTGTAGCTGTGTAGCAGATAACAGGTTATTACTTTATTGAATAGAAATTTAGAATCCCAGAGGTGAAAAGAGATTGACTTAAACGAAGCAACATGGACAATACAAATTTGTATAATCAATATTGACTTGTTTGGAATTGAAACGTAATTATTATGTATAATCAGAAAAATGTGACATCGATGCTTTTGATAATCCAGATTGATAAAACACAGTATAATTATCACATCCTACTGAAAATTTTAGCTCATCTGCTGATAACGGTTGACATTGCAAAAAAATAGCAGATAGCACTACCAATATTTTGGTGGATTATCATTCATTATCTTACATTACATTATTGTCAGCTGTACCAAGATATTCTCGATTGTGACCAGTGCAGTTGCAACTAAATTAGCCTCTTGTCCCACAATTCCATGAGTAATCACTTATGACTGTCCTGAACCTATGCAGCCATTGTATACAAGCAACTTGAAAACCTTTAACTAGATACCTCGGGTTCAAGCCCTATGAATGGTGTATAGAAAGGAATTTGCTTCATTTCCCCAGCTGTTTTTTGTCCCTTCATACATCTTTTATGTTTTCTTAATTGTTTTAGAGCAAGAAATCCATCCCCAGCATGCTATATAACTGGTGCAGGTTCTCCTTTTCCCTCCATGATCAGACAACTTCAAATTAAGCTAAATCAAGAAAGAAAAAAATGACTTACAACTTAGTGTCCTCTTTACTTTTCTCGTTCTTCTTCTTGCTACAATTCACTTGCAATTTGGCTCAAGCACCAAAGCCACCAGCTATTTCTTCTCCTCCGGCTCCAATATTGCCCCCAATTATAGCCTCTGCTCCGGCTCCAGGACCACCTGGTCCGCCAAACGTGGTAAAAATCCTTGGGAAAGCTGGATCATATTCAACGTTCATCAAGTTGTTACAAATCACTCAAGAAGTTGGCGAAATCACATCATTACTAAACAACTCTAACAGCATAACCATGTTTATTCCATCGGATGGTGCTTTCTTGAACCTGAAAACTGGAACCCTCAACTCTTTCAGTGATCAGCGGAAAGCTGAATTGGTTAAATTCCATATCCTCCCTTCATATTTCTCCCTGTCACAGTTCCAAACAGCTAGCAACCCTTTAAACACACAAGCCGGTGGAACCACTGATCGTGAATTCCCCATCAATATAACCACAAATGGGACAGCAGTGAACATAACAACTGGGATTGTGAATGCAAGTGTGTCCAGTACAATTTACACTGACAATCAATTAGCTATTTACCAAGTGGATAAGGTACTGCTTCCTTTGCAATTCTTTGCCCCACCGTTACCACCAGCACCTGCTCTAGCACCATCAAAGCCAAAAAAGGACGATCCTTCCTCGGACTCTTCCTCTGTTAATGGTGTTCCATCTGGTGCCACTTCTCTTCTTCCCCACATGCTTCAGGGAATGGTCTGTCCCGGCTGCTTTTTTTTCTTCTCTGTTTGCTTTGTGTATATGAGTTAAGAAGTCGTATGCATGTGTGCATGATTGGGGTGTAATGTTATGTACATTTAAGTGTTATTTAATAAGATGTTAATTTTCAGTGTGTTCTCAAGCATATATAGCATCACATCCTAAGTTAGCCAACTTCCCAATACAAGCATTGCTCTATTTTCAAAATGCCGGCAAGGACAAAACTTAAAATATGGAAAAGAAAGACACAAGAAGCAAGGCCTGACTACAGTCCCTTTTTTTTAGTTTATCCATCTAATATCTGAAATCTATTGGCCTGAACAATCTGGATTTGCGGCTGTATAGGGCCCAATAAAGGAACTACTTTCTCCATTCCTAGAAGACTGGACTCGAGACTCTGGCTAAGGGTGGAGTGATCCTATCCATTTTTACCACTCACCTTGGTGATCCTTAATTAAACTATAAAATGCCAGGAACCTATTTGTTTCACCCAATACCAGCACACCGAAGGTGCTCATCACGGCAGGAGGAAGTCACTCAAAACATAGCTACTATGCAAGAAGCCAACAAGAGCACATTTGTTGTTTAATAGTTGTGACTCTATCCTGCAGCCAACTGATTCTTGATTCAAATCTCACCATTGGCTTTATCCTCTTCTTCCTTCTCCTTCCCTCTCCTCACGGGCGCAAAATGGATCTTTCACAAACACGAGGGAAAAGGTGATAAGGCCTCTGTTGGGATGTTTAAACTGAACTTGGATATCTTTGGAACAGAGACAAGCACCACTGTATGAAGACTTCTCAGCCTTTTCCCATATGACATAGATGGGAACATTGACATAGTTAAAAGAGAGATGTTTAGGCGAACTGCTTGCTTCAGGCACAAAGTAATATATCTTGCACCATTTCCTCAAATACTCCTTTAAAAATATGACCTTTCCAAGCAATTGACTCATTCTTCACAAGTGAACATCAAAATACTAATTTACGAAGGAAAACTGGAGAAATGGTTAACATACCAAAATATTTATTGCAGAACTGGAGAAAGCTAACATCTTCTAACTTCAGGTAACTCCTCAAGAACAGCTGTCCACATGTGCAGTCAATAGACCCATTTTCCACTGCTAAGAGGATAGCTTTTGGATGGTGTTGGGCTGTTGGCAATTGGCCGACAGTAGATTTCGTATTAAAATTCAGTCATGAAATTTGAAAAGAAAAGAGAACTTTATATCGGAGATCCCAGACAAGCCAAACACACCATATAGTAGGTAATAAAAAAAGGAACTCAAAGTATTCAACCAAAGCATTGCATAGTTTTAAGAAGGGTTAAACAAAGTGGATCAAACTTACAGCATTTTGTGATCTAATGGTCAGAATATGCACTTTGTCCAACCACTGGAAAATTGAAGAGCTTAACTGTTGGATTATCTAATCTAGGAAGTGAAAGGCAAAAGGAAAAAAACAACTTAAAAACTAAATCGAAAAATGAGAGGATCACAGTGAAAATAGAAAGATCTATATACAAGAGTGTAGCCGCAACTGTTCCTATATTTACTGTTCAGCACCTTCGCTGACTTAGATCTCCAGAAGTCGCTCAACTGGCTGCCGACATATAGGACACCTATTTGTCTGGATCCTCAAGATTTTTGCGCAACCACTGCACATGCACTGCATCAAGGAAAATACTCAATATTTGTGGCATATAATAGTATTGCACCAATAAATAAGACAAACAAAAAACAGTTGTGCCATGTATGGCTTCTTCAATCAATAAATGTATATAACTCAACACAGAAGCTGATGCATTGGTTTATCAAGCGCAATGAAACTGATGCATATTATATTTAATGCTAGATACACGATATTGTGTTGACATTTTGAAACATGGCTAGTCTACTAGCCAAAGAAAGGAAATAAGGTGGGGTTTAAGGTCGGGGAAGAATTACTCAAGTTGTATTAGTAAAAACTGTTGCAACAGAAGCTGAATAAACTGTAAGATAGATCGTTAAAACAAAGCATTCAAGATAGTTGTGCATGTATTCAGACCAGCACCTCAGTTGCAAGGGTTACGAAAGGTTAAAGCCATACCATGTGTCGACATGGAAGTACAGTTGTGTCCCGAGGTTCAGAAAGGCATATCACACATTCTTTCCCAGGATCATTTCCATCATAGTCATTATCAATTGAATCACCAATCCCATAAATCTCTTGTAATTCATATCTCATGCCATTGACCCAAAGTATTTGCTTCACCACCTTAACATGGTATTCACCTTTATCCTTTTCAAAAACTGCTAGAGTAAGCTGGGAATTTGTGGACCCAGATGCTGCATTCTCATCCTCTGATACACTTTCCCTAACTGGGATTGCCTCTACTTTCACCGCTAATGGATATACATCTGCATCAGCATCTTTGGAGGATTCTGCTTCATCAAACATTGAAAGATCAATGCCAGTTCCTGAGGGTTGCCTAAACTTCTGAGATAAACCTTGTTGAAATTCTACAGTTATTGGTGGAAGTAAGCTTTCTTTCATAGGTGTCAACAAACAATCTTCACCTTCTTTTCCAAAGAAAATGGCAGTCAAGCTGCAATAGATTAAAGAAAAAACTAATTTAACATTTTACAAATAAAAAGAATTGCAAGTGATACTTGAAGATCCATACGAATGACTAAAACTCATTAATGAGTAAAATTTCCAAACAATGAAAAAAGACAAAGCACTGATTAAATTTCTAAGCAAGTTTTTGCGAGCATATCTGAAACAGTTCCTAGGCAGAAGACAAATAAGCAATGAAGTACCCTTGAGAAGTAATAAGTACTAGTAAACTAAGGTTTTTTGAAAGATAGAAAGTCTACCGAATACATAAACCTCTTAATAGTTCGTATCTCAAGGAAATGAAGTGCACCTTTTTCCTCTCTTCCTTACCACAGTGGGCATAGCTATAAGAGGGTCTATGCTTCTACACAAGAAGCAGGATACTCTTATAAAGACTTATTATCAATTACACGTTTAGCATCATGAAGGAAAGCAAAGCTTCTTACAAGATATAGAGCACCATCGTAAACTGGTTTCCAGCTCAACCTCTGACCAACTATGTTAAATAGGATATCACCTCAAAAAATCAACCTGAGTAATTCTGAACTCTCACTTAAGCCACAAGATTATTCACATGCCAAAAAGGAAAAAACTTATTCACATGCAGAATGCCATGAGGACATACTATAATTGCAAAGTTTAGATACCAGGATCCTTAATGGTCTTGGGTTGTATTTTCTACAAGGTAAGTAACTTTACAAAGAAAACTCATGCAGAAAAATCACACTGCTCTCCAAATAGACTAAATTACCCACTTGTCCAGGGATTTGAGATTATATGACTTGCAGCAAAAAAAACATCTCATTATTTCAAGAGCATATAGGGCTGCTGATTAAAGATTTTGAATGATGAAATGCAGGAATATCAACAACTCACAGATAAATTTGTTAGAATGATAACTTGCAAGAACTATCAAGTAGCAACACGACGCAATGTGTAAGGGAATCCCAGAAAATGAACTATGACCAAATCATATCTATGTCAAGAAAACTAAAGTTCGTAAGTCATACAATCTAAAGGGAAAATCAGCAAATGAATTGTGTTAACCAAATCATATACTTATATGTCAAAAAAGTTCAAAACTTTAACATACATATACTGATTAAAATGACACATACAAGACAAACTACCGGATTACACTACATTCCCACATAGAGAGTATACAACAAAATCATGTATGAATCGTTAAACTTATACGAAACATGGAGTATATTATATGAATATGAACCTACTATTTTCATTCTGCAGTTCTAAATCCAGTTTCATTCTAATACTCAACAAAGTTGACATTAAAGACAACTTATGAAATAACATACCCTGATCCACATAGTGAAAGAAAACAATATGGGGTCGCGTTTTATACCGTCAACCAAACATATTGGCACATGGCATTTTGGGTTGTTAATATTGTTACAGTTAGTTAGAATTGTGGTTAATTGTCCAGCTGTAAAAGTAGTTAGTTAGGAAATTAGTTCACATTTTTTCCTTTATATACATTGTACACATAACGTTTCTTTTCCAGATTAATACAATTTACATTTCCAAATGTCCTCTTCTGTATTTCTCTCTAGAATATAGATCTCCATTGATGAACAGCTTGAGCTAAGTTGATAGTTCATATTTTCACATGGTATCAGAGCAGTAGATCTGATTCATTGTGTACTTCATTCATACACATTACGTTTCAATTGATCTTTTGCAGTTTCAATGACGGGAGTGAAGATTGATGCTTCTCATCCTCTGTTTTTAGGTCAATCAGATACTCCAGGGTCTGTCCTCATTCCGGTAAAGCTTACTGGATCTGAAAACTATGGTTTATGGAGTAGATCGATGAGAATTGCACTTTTAGGTAAGAGGAAGCTGGGATTTGTGCTTGGCACTTGCACAAAAGCTTCAGTTGGTGCTCAATTGTATGATCAATAGGAAACGTGCAATGCGATTGTTTTATCGTGGCTCATGAACACAGTATCTGCAGATCTTCTAAATGGAATCGTCTATGCTTCAGATGCACATGTAGTATGGGAAGATTTGAAGGAAAGTTTTGACAAGGTGAATAGGGTGAGGATCTGGCAATTACACAGGGAAATCACTACACTGATGCAAGGTACCAGTTCTGTATCAGCTTATTTCTTGAAATTAAAGGAACTATGGAGTGAATATGATGTGTTAGTTCCATCACCAAGTTGTGGCTGTGAGAAATCAAAGGATTACATTGAACATTTGAGTCAACAGAGATTGCTCCATTTCCTTAGTGGCTTGAATGAATCCTATGATCAAGCCAGGAGACAAATCCTCATGAAGTCAATTACTCCATCTTTAGGGCAGGCATATGCCATGATAGTCCAAGATGAGAGTCAACAAGTAACTGCAGCTAAAATAGCTGCTAAAACAGCTGAAAAAATGGAATCCTTAGCACTACAAGCAAGTAATCTGAATCTACAAGCAGGAAGAGGTAAAGGTTTCAAGGGTAGACAATGTGACTACTGCAAGATGAAAGGTCACACGAGGGACAATTGCTACAAGCTAATTGGCTATCCACCTAGGAAACAATACGGAGGAGGAAATGAAAACTCAGAGGGCTGGAGAAGGAATACAGGCAACTCTGATAGCTGGAGAAGGGAACAGTCATCGAGACCAGCTGTGAATTGTGCTGATGGTGCATCTTCGTCCAAAGATACTGGAAAAGGTTATCCTGAAAGACAAGGACATTTCTATAGTCCTTTCTCTGATGAACAATGCAGGCAAATTCTAGGGCTGCTGAACAAGGAAACAGGTGGACATCATGCTAATATGGCAGGTATTATTACTTGTTTGATGTCTATGTCTCATTGTTCAAAAGATGAGTGGATTGTTGATTCTGGAGCTACACACCACTTTACTGCTAATAAGAAGTTCTTACAAGATAGCATTGACATAGATGTTTCTAAGAAAGAACAAGTGCATTTGCCTACAGGTGAGAAGGCTGATATCACTCACACAGGGAGTGCTAGCCTGTTTGGACAGAACTCAGTGCAGGGTGTGTTATATGTCCCTGAATTTAGATACAACCTTTTATCAGTATCCAAAGTGACTAAAGAGCTATCTTGCCTTGTCACTTTCTTTCCTGATTTTTGTGTATTTCAGGATCTCTACAGTGGCAAGGTGAAGGGGATTGGTAGAGAACAAGGTGGCTTATATTTGATTGTTGCAGACACTAATAAGAGCTTGATAAATAATGAACTAAAGACTGCACACTTGTCTAGTAAGGATGAAGACTATGATCTTTGGCACAAGAGGTTAGGTCATCCTTCATCCACAGTTATGCAGAGATTCCAGAATTACATAAGTGTACTAGCACAATAACTGGCAATACTTGTCACATATGTCCATTAGCTAAACAAGTTAGATTACAGTTTCCAATTAGTACCTCTAGAGCTGATTTCCCTTTCAAACTTGTACACATGGATCTTTGGGGCCCTTATAAGGTGCCAACTTATGATAAGAAATATTACTTTCTCACTATTGTGGATGATTATTCCAGATTTACTTGGGTTTATTTGTTGCAATTAAAATCTAAGGTAATTGTTGTGCTTAAACAGTTCCTGTATATGATCCAAAATCAGTTTGGAATGATGGTCAAAGTATTGAGGTCTGATAATGGGAGTGAGTTTTTTAATTCCAAGTGCAATGACCTTGACATCCTTGGGAATCCAACATCAAAGTAGTTGTCCATATACTCCACAGCAGAATGGTACTGTGGAAAGAAAACACAGACAAATCTTAAATATAGCCAGAGCTTTAAGATTTCAGGCCATGATCCCTCTCAGATATTGGGGAATGTGCATTAAAGCTGCTGTTTACTTGATGAATAGGTTACCTTCTGTTGCCATAGGAGCAAGCACACCATATGAATTACTCAATCACAAGAAGCCCTCACTCACTCATTTGAGAGTGATAGGTTGCTTATGTTATGCCACTAACTTGCAGAAAGAAGACAAGTTTGAACCAAGAGCAAAGGCTGCTATACTTCTTGGTTTTTCAGAAGTTCAGAAAGGTTATGTTCTTCTTGACAGAGTTTCAGGGTCCATATTTGTTAGTAGGGATGTCATATTTAAGGAAACAATATTTCCTTTTCATTCTCCTTCTTCACTATCTACATTGCCTCCTAGCTTTGGTACAGAAATGCCTATCACTGCAGATCACGATGACTGCACAGTGGCTTCTTCACCCTCAGAGTCCAGACTTGAGGTGTCCTCAGAAGAGTTAGTAGGTTCTGCTTTAGATCATGCAACACAAGTAAGGAATGATGATGGTCGTAATGTTGAGCAAAATTCTACTACAGAACTTGGGAGTAATTCTGATGCTGTTATTAATAGAAGAACTTCAGGAAGGATATCTAAGCAACCTATATGGATGAAGGATCCTTATATCCAATATCTAATCATTTGTCCTATGAGAATACTAGTGCCAAGTATCAAAGTTATCTCACTAAATTCTCTTCCCTTGTGGAGCCACATACATTTAAAGAAGCAGCTAAGGATGCTAGATGGATTGAAGCCATGGAGTTGGAAATCAAAGCTCTAGAAGACAACAACACTTGGACAATTGTTGAACTTCCAGCAGGCAAGAACACAGTGGGTTCTAAGTGGGTCTATAAGATCAAGTTTTAGGAAAATGGAGAAGTGGAGAGATTCAAAGCAAGGCTAGTTGCCAAAGGGTATAGTCAGAGAGAAGGTATTGACTATCATGAGACCTTTTCTCCTGTGGCCAAGATGGTCACAGTGAGATCAGTTATTGCTCTTGCAGCCTCCAAACGATGGAATCTATTTCAAATGGATGTTTTTAATGCATTTCTCCAAGGTGATTTATGTGAAGAAGTGTACATGGAGATGCCTGAGGGTTTCAGAAGTCAGGGGGAGACTAAAGTGTGCAAGTTACAAAAATCACTGTATGGGCTTAAACAAGCCTCAAGGCAGTGGAATATAAAGCTAACAGAAGCACTAGTTGGCAATGGTTTTGTTCAAAGCAATCATGATTACTCATTATTCACAAAGAAGAAGGATGCAGACATTATCATCATCCTTGTCTATGTAGATGATCTACTAATTACTGGAAGCTGTAGTAAAATGATTAATGATGCAAAGGATGTACTTCACAAGCAATTCAAAGTCAAAGATCTAGGAGATCTTAAGTATTGCTTGGGGATAGAGGTGTTAAGATCTAAATCCGGAATATTACTAAATCAAAGGAAGTATGTGTTGGAATTAATCTCAGAAATGGGACTAGGAGGAGCAAAACCATCGGCAACACCTTTGGAAACTAATGTCAAGCTAACAACTACAGAATTTGATGAGTCAACAGGGAGAAAAGGTGATCCATTACTAGCAGATGTTGGTGTTTATCAAAGACTAATAGGTAAGTTGTTGTACTTAACCATAACAAGACCAGACATCAGCTACACTGTGCAAACACTGAGTCAATTCATGCAGCAGCCTAAGCAGTCTCATTGGGAAGCTGCGATCAGAGTAGTTAGATACTTGAAGCTTGCACCAGGGCAAGGTATTCTCATGAGTTCATTGTCTAGTCATGAGCTTACATGTTGGTGTGACTCAGACTGGGCAGCTTGCCCAAATTCTAGAAGATCTATAACAGGTTATTTAGTTAAATTTGGGAGTTCATTGGTGTCATGGAAGTCCAAGAAACAGCAGACAGTGTCAAGGAGCTCTGCAGAAGCAGAGTATAGAAGTATGGCTTCAGCAGTGGCTGAAGTTACATGGTTGCTGGGATTGTTTCAAGAGTTGGGAGTAAAAGTAACACAATCTGTGACAGTTATGAGTGATAGCAAAGCTGCTCTACAGATTGCATCTAATTCAATATTTCATGAAAGAACGAAACACATAGAGATTGATTGTCATTTTATCCGGGACAAAATTAAGAATGGAATGATCAAAACAATGTTTGTGAGAACTGAAGAACAAGAAGCAGATTTATTGACTAAAGGGCTAAGTAAGGTGCAACATTTCTATTTGATGAACAAGCTAGGAGTGTTCAACATTTTACACCTCCAGCTTGAGGGGGACTATTGGCACATGGCTATTTTGGGTTGTTAATATTGTTACAGTTAGTTAGAATTGTGGTTAATTGTCCAGCTGTAAAAGTAGTTAGTTAGGAAATTAGTTCACATTTTTTCCTTTATATACATTGTACACATAACGTTTCTTTTCCAGATTAATACAATTTACATTTCCAAATGTCCTCTTCTGTATTTCTCTCTAGAATATAGATCTCCATTGATGAACAGCTTGAGCTAAGTTGATAGTTCATATTTTCACAAAACACAGTACAAATGACCCTTAAAAAGCACAAATTCTTACCCCAACCCCACAAAAAAAAGTACCTTCCAGAAACGGTGGCGTCGAAAGTGAAAGCAACAAGGTACTTCCCCGGATTCTTCTCATCAGGCTCAATCCTCAAAGTTTCCTTCTTCAGATTAACATCATTACGTATTGTCACTGCTTTTTCATGCTCCACATATGGTACTGCCATTGCGGGTGGCCGCGGCGGCGGTGGCGTCGTATAGTACCCCGGGTGCTGATAATACGATGGCCCATGTGGGAATCGAGAAAGATACGGTGTTGCCGCAAACACATACCCGTTCGCACGTATCTCCGGTTGAGGTGGCGGCGGCGGTGGTGGGTGGCTCCTCCGGCTGTTGCTTCGTCGCCGGCCATTCACACCCCTGCTTCCACCATTTCCCATCTCAAATTTTGAAAGTAAAAACTCTAATTTGGATTACAGAAGCTTAATTTTACCTCTGATCACACCATGAAAGAGACAGATTTTTACAGTATTAGACACCCTTTGCTTCATCAACAGAAACTCAAAGAGAATTTACTGAATTAGTGAAAATTATGGGTAAAAAGGACATGGTATTTTTTTGAGAAGACAACAAGGAAGATGAAATTGAGGATGAATGAATGTTGATTGTACAGCTACAGAAATAGTTACAATACGGAGTCGAAAAAGGTAAGTTAAAAGGTTTGAGTAAATTTTTTTTCTATAAAAGTTAAGTATATCCGACGAGTTTGGAAACAATTTACTCCCTCCGTCCACAATTGTTTGACAGGTATACTAAAAATAAATGTCCAAGATTAATTGTCAATTTAAACAATCAAGAAATAATTAGTCACTTTTTTCCAATTCTGCCCTTAATGATAGTGTAGTTCAATTGAAAAGTTATGTGGACTTTTGATATTCTTGGTATAGTAGGGTTATATTAGTCAAATTACACCTTGTATTAAATTTTCCTTGAGGGGGTGTGCATGACCTTACCCTGACAAACAATTGTGGACGGAGGGAGTAATTATTTGTCCATGTTTGAATTAGCACATTTATTAAGAAAATAATTATTGATATGTGAATTTACCATTTTATTGTCAGGATTCAAAATGAGTCATGAGTGACACCCACAATTAACCTTTTAGGTGGGCGAACCATTGAATTCAACCCCAACTTATATTTATTCTTCAACTTACAAAATACTAATCATAATGCGAAAGCTCAAATCTTATTAATGTAAGAAACACAAATCCACTAAAGTCTATTAAATATCACTTCCCAAAATCTGAAAGTCATCACATCAAAGACATCTAATTTCTAAATACCAAGTGTAAGAGTATCAAAGACACCAAAATAAATAAAGTAGTTTGTGTCCGAAAACTAAGGATTTCATGCCATGACCAAGAGAATTCAACACGAGCTAGAATGAATGGTTCACCCTGGAACTTGATGTGTTGGAGACTAGCTAGAGCTTAGGACTAGTCGAAGTCGCCGGTACACTCACTACACTCCACAAAAGAAAAACGAAGAAAAATACAAATAGGGGCCAATACAGGGCAACATGTACTGAGTAGATATAATCGGCCAACCTAAAATAGAAACTAAAATGCAACAAGTAATACTTAGTATAAAATCAACTATATCACTTAGCAGGTGGCAAGCAACAAACAACATGGATAAGTGACAACAACACCGAAGCAAGTACGTAATCAGTCACAATTTGAAGAACGCATTTGAAGACTCATGCCTCCACACCACGCTCTATTGGGAAATTTGATATATTGAGATAAGTTATAATTCTTATACAAGCAACCCTAAAGACTATACAACACTCCTTATCCCACCAATTACCATGCAACATCTCAATTGTGACATAGTGTGTTTATCATTTTACCTCTATTAATTATA